GAAGGTTGATAGATGACGACCAAGCTGATCCGTGACTGTGAGTATCTTTAAGCTGAGACAACAATGTGAGGTGTCAAAACCGATGACAGTTGCGAGGATAGCGATGAGGACCACCCTGATCCCTGTGACTGTTGACACTTTTGAGACGCGACGACGACACATAGGTCCAAAAGTGACGACACTTACGAGGAAGGCAGCTTTCAGGCATCAAAAACGACTGGACAGTTACGAGGATGGCGACCCCGAGGGGCCCCATCCTTGTGACTGTTGACACTTTTGAAGCATTGCGGGGGGTGGGGCGTGGGGGGGATACCATGGGGGGGTGGGGGTGGGAACGCGGAGCGCAGGGGATTAGAGGGGAGCAGCATCTTGGGGTTATGAAGGGGGATACCAGGAGTTTAGATTCATGTAACCTCAAGTGCCTAAGCCCAAAATTCTGAAACCCAAATCCTAAAGTTGAAGCTCTCAGCCCCGAATTAAACTCTAAGCCCTGATCTCTAAGCATTTTAGATTCCTATATACCAATTGTCTGAACTCCTAGTATCCCCCTTCATAATCCCTGTACTCCCCTATATTGCCCCCTATATAAGCCCCTTCAAAGGAGTTTGGACCATGTCCATATGGTAGTTTCCCAGATTAAAGGGCACCCCTATATAGACACATAGGGACCCCCAAAATGGCACCCCTCAGTTTCAGAAACTTCCATATAGCTCATATGTCCATATGTATCCTAAACCCTAAATCCTACATAATATAGTCCCTACATAACCAACCCGTACATAATCCTTGTAATCCCCTATTCCATATGTACCCCTGAACATTCTCAGGGAAGACCAGGAGGCAAGGCGACTGGCACAGTTGGCCTTGGAGGCCATGACGTCGAGGGCAGAGGCTCGGCAGGAATCACTTCTTGAAGGTATATAGGAGTCATATAGGGTGATTAAGGGACTATATAGGGCTTGTAAAGGGGATTATGATAGGGATAATAATGGGGGGGGATATTATATTGGTTTTTAAGGGGGATGTTAGGAGTTTTGCTTCAAGCTCACGTCCCTTCTAAAGGCTCTTTTGACATAGCAAGGGGTTATATAAAGGATATAATATAGGGATATGTGGTATACATAGGCGTATACAAGGATTTATAGCGACCCATTGGGGTTGGAGGGATAAATAGAGGGCATAAAGGGGTTGTTCGGGATCTACAAGGTTTAGCCATTAGGGCTTAGGGATCCCCTTGGTGTGCTGCAGTGTGAAATCATGCCTATAGCGAGCACAGGCACCCGGCAAGTCCAGTTGTAAAAGGGTTTTCCCTGGAGCTACTGTCCCCAAGCCCTCATCATAAAGCCCATAGCCATAACCCCTATTACCAGATAGATTGACTAAGTGAAGAGACCCTCCAAGCTCCCTAGATGTGCAGATGTCCATGGGGGACAAGATCAGGTCTGGCTTCGGGTTTAGGGTAGGAGGCGCTGAACTAGGGCTGCACGGGGATTGAAATGCGAATAAGGGGGTGGTTATAAGGGAGTATATAGGGTACACTTTGAGAAACTCCCATATCCTAATTGAGGTCTTAGGGATTATTTCTTGGGCTAGGAGTGGTCATAAGAAGTAGTAATGCGACAGGAAGGAGTGGCTGCTGTTAGTCTAGGACCACATTTTAAGTATGCGGAAATCGCCCGTTCACTGCAGAAACCTGAAAGTGGGACGTCGCCAAAGCGCGCGTGTGAGCACGCACGGCCATGCTGTTAACCTTGGAATCCGTGAGCCATTGCCTATAACCAGGGGCGTAAGGGCTTAGGGTTTAGAAGTGCAATGCATACGGATGACATGTGGGAGTGCAAGCATTGGCATATTGAGTTCAAATTGTAGCTTGCGTGAACCTGATTCTGGACAGATTCCAGAGTAGCACGTTGCCTTGTGTGCCAAGATCAGCATGAGCGTGTAGACCGATACAGCAGTAAGGACCTCTGGCAGCATATCTTACTGTGTTGGGATCTGCAGTGTGCGCTCAAGGATCTGAACTTGCCTGCCTGTCAGTCATCAGCTTGGGTTGTGGAGGGACTTCTTAAGAATCCCTTTCCGACATCATGAAACAAGCCTGCCGCGCCATCAGTGAGTTATTCCCCATTTTACCCCAATGCAACATTATTCTCATATGGTAATGGTGAGTATATCAAAATGTGGTTGGGTGTGTTTCTTAGCGGCGAAGAGGATTGCAATCCTGAAACGCTCTAGGGAGCCCAGGAGCCATACGTAGTCATTCTCAGGCCCTTTAGGGTTTAGGCTTTAGGGTAGGGTTTAGGGTTTAGGGTAGCTTTTTGGGATTCCTTTATAAAGCCAGGTAGCAAACCTATACCATCTTCCCAGAGTGCCCAACATAGCTTAATTGAAGAATACATCTCAAAGTGTACTAGGACACTTAATATGATTTAGGGTATATATTTCTTAATTAAGCTATATTGGGCTCCCTGCCCCTAAACCTAAACCTTAAACCCTAAATAGTAGCTTCCATTTTCTTTTCCATTATCCCTATATCGCGATATTGGGCTCCCTGGGTTCCATGAGCTGGCCAGGATCTGCAGGACAAGCTCCAGGTTCTGCAGGCCGAACGTGACGAGTTGAACAAGAAGATCCCAGAAACAGGCATGGGTAGAATGGTTTAAAGGGTGGTTGTATAGGGTTTAGGGATTAGGGCTTTCTCTAGGGGATTATAAAGGGATTAGGGTTTAGGGAAGTTTAGGGTTTATTTAGGATACGGATGGACATATGAGCCATAGTCTAAACTCCTTAGAAGGAGTTCTATAGGCAAGTATATAGGGGACAACTATCGGGGATGTTAAGGGGGTAATGGGGATACTAGGAGTTTAGACTACAGCTCAAATTACGTGGGGGTGTCAAGAGATAGGTGTCCTCAGATGGTGCCCAAACCCTATAGTCCCCCTTAAGTAGATAGAATATGGGGTATGTGGGGATCTTATTTTAATATACCCAAAGCCATATTCTATCTACTTAAGGGGGACTATGACACCTAACCCGCTTGCGTGAGATGTCCAGACCAACCCAGCGAGCCCCGAGACGGAAACCCTAAACCCTAAGGCTTAGGGTGTAGGGTTTTAGGGTTTAGGGTTTAGGGTTTAGGTTGGGTACTGCCCCCCCTCAGTAACAGTTGGACAAAAATGTTATGGTTATATAGCCCTTAATAGGACCCCTAATATAGACTGTTACTGGGTGGGGGGCAGTACCCAACCTAAACCCTAAGACCTAAATCCTTCACCCTAAACCCATGGACGGCGTAGAAGCCTGAAGCAATGCCAATATCATTCAATTACTGGACAAACCCTGACCCTGACCCTCTAAAGGATCCAAAAGTTGGACCCCCTGCAATATGGACCCATAACTACATTGGGGAAGCTAGGATTATTGGGCGGCTCCATTTTTTGGATCTTTTGGGGGGTCTGGGGACAGAACTACATAGAATATGCCCCAAACCTTGTTTGATTGTTCAGGCCCCCCTACATTCTCTGTAGGTTACAAGAGCTTGGCGGACGTGGTACAGCAATCCACAGCTTCGCGAAGAGAGGCGATGTTCGATTCCATTCTCGTTCAACTTGCTGGTTGTTAGTGGCCATTGAAGGCATGGAATAGATTGGGTACTGCCCCCACCCAGTAACAGTCTAGATTAGGGGTCCTATTAAGGGCTATATATAACCATACTATAATTACTATCCAACTGTTACTGAGGGGGGGCAGTACCCAAGGAATAGACAATGGAAACTGCTACACGATAGGGGATGATATGGAGCTACTAGAGGGATCCATTCCTCCATTCTAAAGCCTGTTCTGAAAATGGGAAGTCGTCTGGAGAAATCAGACAACATACTGTACAGGGTTTATCGCAGGAAGCCATTTAGGTAGGCATGCTGGTACATCCTATGAGCAACCATTTAGGGTTTAGGGGCTTAGGGTTTAGGTTTCGGCTCCTTCTTGATGCTGCGGAATCTTGACATCAAGGAGTCTTCTTCGGCACCATCTACGGCCTTAGGAAGTATGCCGCGGTACAAGCTTGGTGTTGTTTCCATCACGGGTTTTTGGCCACACTTTCCGGAAGACAGACAGACAAGCGACTGATATCATGATTGGTAGCCTTGCAAGTGAAATGATGGCCTGTGCAAAACGCAGCCCTGAGCTGAAAACCGAAGAACAAACACTTACCGGCTGCTGGCCCAACTCTTGCAAGGTCACAAGGGATCTCCATCTGCCGGTTTCCACCAAGAAGATTCAGACTTCCTGTACTGAGGATTTCGTTATTCCGATATAGACGAAGGCCACTATTTTTTAAATACGCATTTGGGGTGGTCGCTTCTCAACCCCCTAAACCCTAAACCCTATAGTAGTTTCCATCTTATTTTCCATTATCCCCATGTAACCCTAATATAACCCAAGATTACCCAAACATAACCCCAGTAAACCCCAACATACCCTAAAGGCGAATTTCCAGCCTCAAGGCTTTGCAAGAGCGTCGAGCACGAGAGCAGTACCAGCAGGCCGCCCGGCTCATGTCTCCGCCGATTTTGAGGTTACATAGGGGATTATAGGGATTATTTAGTGGGTTCTATTAGAGGGACTATATACGGTTTAGGGTCTAAACATGTCTAAACTACTTAAAGAAAGATTATATAGTGAGTAGAATAGGGGTTATTAAGGGGGATTCTAGGAGACCAGATTGTGGTTCATATGAGGTTTAGGGATTGGAGTTTAGGTTTTCATTCTTGACTCAGACAGCCTTTTGTAAAAAAATGTTTAAGAATGGATAGTAGACTGGACAAGAACATAGAACATGAAATGGAAGGTGATGTTATATAGTGGTTTCAGTTGGGAATTCCCGAAAGTTAGCGGTCCTTTTTTTTGGGGGGGGTGGGGGGGGGGCGGTCTCGATGTATACTAGGGGGTATGGCATGCCGATGTATACGAAGGGATATGGCATGCTGGGGGTAGAGAGAGAGAGAGAGAGATATTATNNCCTTCCCATGTACCTACTTTAGGGCTCAAGTATAAACTGGCTAGCTACATGGACTCTTTGTGCTTAAAACTCTTTGGGGCGGTGCTCCTTTTGAGCGGGCGCCTCAGGTCTCAGGTTCAGATTCCTCAGAAGTGGTCTCGCCCTGAGCCAAACAGCAAGACAAGGATTTTGGTAACCTCAGACCCCCCTGAAAAGAAGGAGCCTACAAGGCTCATATATTTCTAAGGGGCTGGGGCAACCCAAACCCGCCAATTATGCAATGCTGGGGCATCGCAATATTGTAGGAGAAGACGAATTACCAACATCCTTTCTTCACAATCCTTAGCGTTGATTAGGGTATGATGGCACAAGTAATGTACCCCAGATCCCTCTTCTAACTCCAGCTATTTCCTCCCTTTCTTCCCTCATTACGGACGCCCAGTCCCCTCATGAGACCACCACTTTCAGTCAGGATACTCAACAGGGTCTTGTCAGTTTGACGAACCCTTCCATCCTGCCCCGTAGAGAGAGAGAGAGAGAGAGATATTATATATATGGTACCCCCCCATGTACCCACGCCTTTCCTGACATGCATATATATATATATAGAGATACGTATACATGCATGCATGTTAGTGTGAAGGGGGAAACCAGCTTGCTGCAGTTCCCACACCATCTTTTTGGAGTGGTGGCTGAAGAGGATTGATATAGGAAATGGACAAAAGCCAGCAGGAGCTTGCAGAAAATGATTACGATGGGCATGTCTTGTGGTGTAAATCGCCTTGCCTTTCACTCATAGGATTACACTGGGCTCCACTAACATGCACCCAAACGCAAAAGGGCCATTGATTTGACATTCTGAGACGCCGCAAGGCCTTGGAAAAGGTGGAGAGGGAGCTGCAGCGGCGCCTACCCACCTTTGTCGGCCGTTTGCTTACAGTGCTTGAGACGCCTAGAAAGGTTTTGTGGACAGCGGCTTTGGCACACTTAGGGCATATGCCTCAAGCATGTGGTAATTGTTTTGGCCTACAGTGCCCTCGCCCAAATCATCGTGGACGGGACCCCGCAGGCCCGCATGCAGGAACGTAGCTTTTGCAAAGGAAGCTTCACGGAGACTCCGTGATGCCCTTGCGGAGTGTAACCGCCATGCTGCAGCTCGAAAGGATGATGCGTATAAATCGTGTTAGGTCCCCGCCCCTAATTATGCTAGGAATATATGGAGACCCTAATGTAAGTTCCCATTATCTCTTGTGGTCACTTTTCGGGCGTGAGGGCCCCAAATAGCCCATCCTGTAAACAGCCGCCGAAACATACATCTTTGGGTCATTCCAGTATTCATTCTTTGTGTCATTCCCTTGCACGGCACGTGTCTGAAAAGGGATTCAACAAGGGGTCAGCACATCTCGTGTTACCTCTGGGCGCAACTGTTACCGCAAGGGGGGAACCCTAAACCCTGATTTTTAGAAAATACGTCGGCCACTTATGTAACCTTGTTGGTCCTGAAGTTGCTTCGCAGACTTTGCCTTAGCTGACCCACATGCTGCCTATAATGTACTGTACTTGCTGCTTGTTGCAAGCAAGTAGGACAGAACAAAGGAATGGAACGAACATGGAACCTGCTATATTGCAACTAAACCGTGGCTGCCAACTGCACGGGTCTATTTATCTACTCCCCCTGAGGGTCCAAAGACCCAAATCATAGGGTTTTAGGGCCCAAATACCATTAACAGTGCTTGGGCCCTAAAACCCCATTATCCTACTACTCCTTGAGACTTGGCTTGGACCTTAGACCCAAAACTTTTTGGGATTCCCTTATACTCCTGTTATAGGTACCTAAGGGTTGACCCTTAGTAGGGGTCCGAAGTGCCACGTGGACTAGAAAGCCGCAACTGCAGTCAGGGGGCTTGCGCTGAGCATAGTCTGCTCTGCCTCAAAAGTAGCCAGCGCACATCAGTGGCTGTTTGTTTATGACAAAGGGATAATGAAAAAGAACATGGAAACTACTACATTATAACAGGGTATATATTGGGGTTATATATTGGGCGGATAATGGAAAAGAAAATGGAAACTACTGTTAATAGGGTATTATTAAGGCAAATAGATTTCGTGCTTTAGGGTTATAATAGTTTTCGTGCTTTAGGGTTTAGGGTTTAGGGTTGGGGTCAGCCTTACTAAGAGTGCCTTTTAAGCAGCAGAAAGACTACTGTAATCTAGCCCTACGTGCCAAATTCCATTAACCTTCTACATCAACGCAGTTTCTCTGCAGCTTTCAATCAGTTCTTGGGGTAGTATCCCTATATAGCCCTATGCAGCTTTTTATGCCCTTGTGCTATCATAAGTCCCTGTATTACCCAGGCCAGAAGAACGAGATCCAGCGCTTCAAGACACAGGCGGCGCAGCTAACGAAGCAAAACGAACAGCTATTGGCCAAAGAGACGGCCTCAGAGGGGTTTCTGTTGTAGATTTCCAGGGGGACCCCAAGACCCGTATTAAGGGGGTTATCAGGATTTGCAGAATCACGTCGTAAAGAAAAAGGAAAATTAGAATAAGACGGAGGCGGTCAGGTAGATCCCTATGAGGACACACCTTCTTGCGCAGCACACTGGCATTCACTTTGAGAAGGTTGTCTGCAGTCAGATTATTGAGGCTTTGTGAACTCCAAGACTCATCGCGAAAACCCTAGGCCATGTTGCGAACAAAGTACGTGCCTTGCTTCTTAGGCAGCTTTCTATGCCTAGGGACTTTTAAACTTGTACCCTTAGGCTTGGCACCCTTGGGTTTAGGATTGAGCATACCCTGGAAGGGCTATGTTTCGTGGTTCTAATATGTTATAGTAGTTCCCGGCTTCTTTTCCATTATCCCAGGGATCCAAAACCAAGGGTATGATCCCTGGGGGGTACAAAGGAAAACTGCTTGATGCAATCAACAGCAGCAGCGGTAGCCTTTGGCTTTTCTCATGGTCCTCATTCTTCAGACCGTCCAACTGCAGCGATATGATCAAAACCGAAGGCTGGGTTGTTGAACGAGGGCCTGGACTCTAGACACTTCAAGTGCAATGTGAGAACAGCTGCAATGGGATGTCATTTCCGACGATTCAGACTTGGTTTTAAAGGCAGTGGGGATCCTCCTGCCTTGGAGCATAGGCTTTTAGGATTAAAGGGCCTACTATCTAGTATGAGATGAATGCACCAGTGGCTCACACAGTCATTTCTTGAAGGTTCATAGGTAGCCGTGAGGGGGTCCAAAAGTATGATATCCTTGTAAGGTACTCATGGCCCTATTCCAGCCACCCATGAACCTCCAAGCGCTGTGATGATTATTTCAACCATTTGATGATTTCTGCGAGTTTCTAGCCCTATAACATGTCTACATCATCACTTAAAGCCCAATACACTCCCTTGACATCCCCAATAGACCCTAAACCCTAAGCCCTGAACCCCATCTCTTAGGAGGACCCCCCCACCCTGCAATAGTAGTAGAATAGGAGTATAAGAGGACCCTAAGATAATCCATATTATCCCGTTTAGTCACTATTACTAGGTGGGGGGGTCCACATAACCTGTTCCACTGAGGTTGAAGAGTTGCAGGCGCAACACTCCGAAGCCGAGGACGCGGCACTGAGGATTCACCTTGCTGACAAGCAGGGAATATCAGGAATATAGGGGTAATAATGGGTTCTATAGCAATTGTATAGGGGTAATATAGGGTTATACATGGACTATGTAGGGGCAAAAAAGAGGAGCAACATACAGGGGCAACATGGGGGAATAAGAAACAACAATCACAACACGCTCACGACAAAATCCCAAGCCCTCACCCTATATTACCCCTATATAGTCCCTATATAACCCATTATTACCATAATGCAGCACGATCCGTTGTGAGCTTCCTCGTGCGAGTCCCAGGAGCGCGCAAAGAAAGCGGCTGAAGCGCAGAAGATACTTGAGGACTATGCGGGCGGCCAAGAATGTCAAGAGCCCGGCGTTGGCTAACCAAAACCCCTCAACAATGCCACCGCTTGTATAAAGACTTTGCGAAAGCGAGGGGCGCTGTCACACTACGTCCTTGCTGTTTTTGGCCGTTGCGTACATTCTTAATGTGGCTGCGCCGTAGAATAAGGATTGGCAATTACCGCCCAAATCGTACACTTCTCATGTGCACCAGGGTCCTTATGAGAAGGACCAAGCACAAAGGATGTTATGGTCAGAGCTGCTATATTGCATTGCTATGCTACATGCGCCAGGCTCGCGAGATAGCCGAGCAGTTGGCTGTCCTGCTCCACGAAAATCGTGTGCGCGGTGCTTAGAGGTACCTCGGGAGCCAGGGGCCCATGGGCCTGCAGACGGAGTTAGCGGCAAGCTTTTTGCATGCTGTGGTGGCTGGGTGAAACATATCCACTTATCGCTGATATTCACTTCATGATGTACTAGGCCGAACTTTCGCGCCCGGATGCACGGCTTATTTGACGAACCTGATTCACCTACTGCTTGAAAGCACTGTTCCCAGGCTAGTTGTTTGTGACGCTGCCGAAGTACCACAACCAGATGTAGGATTTTGTGTGACATCGACTGGCTCCAGGACACGGGGATCGTAGGCGACACTCCTTGCCTCTCAAGATCTCTCCTCTGCCTCTTTCCATATGACGCGCTTCCTGCTTTCACTTGCTGCCCTGGCTTTGGCTCCAGCCACTGGGCTGGAAGCTGATGCTTTCGGCTGTCAGGATTCCTCCAGCTGTAAGCAAGGAACTTCCTTGTTGCAGCACGGTTCTCGCAAAGTCGCATCGTCTGCACATCGGCAGGTCGCGATCGGCAAGATCGATTTCGACCCTGCAAAGCTTCGGCATGCGCAAGGCGAAATGCAGGGCTTCGATATGAACGGGCGCCTCTGCGCTCTGTGCGAGACGCCCTCTGAGGAGCGTGCGCCCGGAAACACATTCGTGCAGCGCAGCGACTGCGGCAATCACAGCATCTTCGAGCACCCGGATAAGGCATTCCTGCCTTTGAGCAGCTTCAGGAAGGAGGCCACAGAAGAACAAAATGAAACCAACGCCTGGTGCGAGCTCAACCTTGAAAAGGGCTGCGCTGATGCTGTGTACAACAAGGACTACCTGATGTTCGCCAAAAGCGTGGAGCTTTCCAAAGTACCCATTTTTGGCTACTCAGTGAATTCCTTCGACCAGCACTACTGCTACTACAATGGCTGGCTGGAACCTGAGATCAGGGCATTGCAGCACGACTACGAGGGCATGACTGCCAAAGGCAAAGAGCTGTGCAAGTCAGAGCACCTTGTGCAACTTGGCGCGAACGGAAACATGACCTTGATGGACATGATGATGCATTACTTGCCGTATCTGCCGGGCACGCCCATCAGCAATCCAAACATCGGCGCCGCCAACTTCCTTGCAGCATGGACCTGTGCCATGGGCAGCTCAGCGTGTGACATGACCTACTGTGCCTGGGTTCTTGTTAAGGAACTTCAGCTAAGTTACTGTAATAAGGAAATCCTATTATTTACTATATACCCATATTATGGTAACTTAGTTTAAGTTCCTTAACAGCAACCCAGGTGCCTACTCATTCTGCAGGAAGGCGGACGGCAGCTTTGGTACCTACGAAGAGTGTCCAGGCTGGGACCCTGTAAAGGGCATGCCTGTGCATGCGTAGTGCAGCCCTACCCAGCAGAAGTGACAGCGACAGCACACAGGGCCTAAGAGCAGATGTGTGACGCTTGGAGGCTGGAGATATAGTTTGGACAGCTTACCACATGCTCGCAGCAGGAGAAAAGGTTTTTTGCCTGAGCAACTCGCGCGCTTTCATTGCATGCAGAGCTCAAGCAAGATGCAAATAGGTGTATTTGGTATCATGGTGCCTGTTTGGAAGTTGTGGAAGAGGCTAACTAGGGTGCTACACAATATCTCAATAGTAGAGTTCGTAGTATTTGAACCCAGGGGATGTTCGATGCGTGACTCCGGCAGCTTTGTCGTGCGAATTTGCCTGAGGCTGACTGGCTCTGTTCCACCAGCTACCGACACCACTATGCAGGCCGACCAATGTGTGAGTTCAGATTTGCCTAATGGTGTTGGATGTTTTTCGCGAGTGTGCCTAGGGTTCCTCAGGAACATTGGGTTGCGTATGCACGGGACGGCCAATTGCGGGCAGAAAGCATTGGACGGATAAACGCCTCCTTCAAAGGTGTGATAGCCTCAACATGGAAGCTGCCTCGTGCCCATCTTTTTGCGAACGGATATACTAAAATTTGTTTATGTGTGTGTGCGCACATGACTATGTATAAGAACGACCCCTGCATTTTTTGAGCACAGACTGAGCTCTCCCAGAATCCCAACTCAATTAAGTAAATTAGTCATGACCTCAACGCCTACCACCACGGAACCCAGAAATTCCGGTACTGAAGTCGCTTACAGTGAACAGCACCGATATCATGGTCCTAGATTTCTGTTAGAATTATGGTATACGGTACCGCAAACCGACCTCAACATGCTGTTGGGAATTATTTAGGCCCCCAACCCCTGTAAACCCCACATAAACACAGTTTCCATGTAACTTTCTATGTTTTTTCCATTTGATTGGCCAGTATTGGGGAAAATATCCCGAAGCCCGTAAGCCCTATATATTTCGATTGTTGGCTGCCCTTGGCTCAGCTTGATTGGGATCCCGGAACGAATCGTGCCTGCTTCAGTGCGATGTGCGTGCCTGAAACCTATTTATTGCTGGATTCGAACCTTGCCATACTGCCTCAGCCATGCAAGTGGCAAAGCTCAAATACTATCTTCCATTTTCTTTTCCATTGTCCCGACACAATCCGTATATGGTAGTTTCCGGATAAGGGGGACCATATGGTAGTTTCCGTGGATAAGGGGCACCTCACTATAGACCCATCCTTGTTATAGGGCCCCCAAAATGGAACCCCTAGTTTGTTGAAACATGAAATTCACCTTTCAGATCTCTACAGTATTTAAGGAGGTTGTGGTCGTATCTACCATGCTAGTTGCTGCAGCTTCAAATCTGTTGTTCAGCTCTGAGAGTGAGGGAATTTAGAGTTAGGGTTTAGGGGTTGAGCGTTTCGGGTTCCCATCCAGCACTTCTTTTCCCGAAGCGTTCTCCACATTTGATTTAGCCGGGTGATGCCGGGCGTTTTCCTCTATTCTTTAAGACATTACATCTCCCAAAAGGTGTTGGTCCTGAGATTTTGAACTCCAGAAACGGGCTCCCATTGTTACCGCTAATTGAAGAAAAGATGTCAGGGTTCTGTTCCTTTCCTGAGACAAGCCCTGCCTTAACCTCACCTGCAGGCTCAGGAGTCCAACAAGCGCTCCTTCCGCACAGTGCAGGCGCATGCAGAGCATTTTGGGGGGATTTAGGAAGCTTAGGATTGAATTGAGATTTTCTCTATGGATAAAGACCCAAAAACATTCCATGGGAGAATCCGTATGATTAAAACTCTATAGGGGGTCTCCAAAGGGGTCCATGTTTTGAGAAGCGTCCTTCATGATTCCCCTTCGCCTTGTCTAGGCATTCTTTAATAAACAGTAGATACCCCCCCCCCCCCCATCCTGCACAAACACGAGACCACATTGGGCCTCTTGTAGTCTTTGTTGGCCTCTTTTTCGGTCTCAGGCAAAAGGGGTGTCTCCAAAAACATGGCCACTAGATGTCCCAGGTTGAGAAGGTCCGGTGCATGCAGGATCCAGAAACACAGCCTAAACTTCGAGTGGAGAGTAGGCCCCGGCCATGATCCCTGCAGAATCCACCAAAAAAAGCCTTGTAATTCGGGCTACATTCGCTGCCCAGCAAGTAACTTCAAGAACTGCACAGCTCGAAGGAGCTTGTGGATCAAAATCTCTCCATGCGACGAGCCGTGGCGCAGCTTTTGCGGGAGCCACATTCTCAGATGGGGGGCTGTTGAAAAAGTTGGTATGGGCCCTTTTGGGGTTGTCACCATAGGAAGGGTCTCCTTCATTTTGGGAACCGTAGCTGGGACACACTCAGAAGTGCAACCCCTCGCCTTTTCGCAGATCTGATCAGTGTTCAGCGCCGTCCCTGTTAGAATTGAAAAGTTGCACCTACTCAGGGTTTCTCACTCAGCGCATTTAGTGGGGCGGAGATCTATTTTCCCTACATCAGTCGGAGATCTGATTTCCCTGCAGCCTGCACCATGTCCTCGGAGGTTCCATGAGGAAAGGAAGGAAATGCAGTTGGTCCACGAACGCGCCAAGCAGACGGACTGCTTCTAAGTATTCACTTGCTGTGGTTGCTAGTGCTGCAGTTGCTTTATGGTAGATTCCCTTTTTCGGGGGACCCCAATATAGCCCCCAAAATATTATAGTCCTGGTACCCTAATTTTGGGAAACCCCCTTATCTGAGTCTGAGTATTGCGTAGCCTGTGTGGACTTGCCGTGATGTTTGTCCACCAGCCAATCCGGGCCGGGAATATAGTCCCCCTTAAGTAGATAGAATATGGGTCGTTTCAAAGGGGTTATATAGGGATTGTATGGGGATAATGGAAGAGAAAATGGAAACTAGTATTTAGGGTTTAGGGTTTAGGGATACAGTCCCTGTTTAGTAGATAGTCTATGGGCTATGTGGGGATCTTGTTTTAACGTGCCCAAAGCCATATTCTATCTACATAAGGGGACTATATCTATATATACATATACATATAACCTTGTATAACCCCAAGTAGTTTCCATTTTCTTTTTCATTGTCCTCATACAGTTAGAAGGCACTGGCACAGTAGGGACCTTCGCCTAAGCGCCCCAGTAGTACCCTTTTCCCTTTCTATTTTGGGGGTGTCCTTATTAAAACTTAGTAGTAGGAAAAAGGGTACCCTGTAGGTGGACCCCCCCACCCAGTAATAGTGACCATAAGGGATAATAGGGGATATATTAGGGTCCTCTTATATTCTTATTCTAGCACTATTACAGGGTGGGGGGTCCTCCTAAGGTACCCTTACTATTAAGGGGTTACTGGGGAACCTAGCTGAGGGCCGTATCCATGAGGAGCAGAAGCTGAAGGAACAGGAGGAGCACTACACTGGTGTGGTTCAGGACTGCATGCTCGGGCTTATACAGGGGTGATATAGGGAAAATGGAAAAGAACATGGAAACTATAGGGATTATATAGGGTTCTATAGGGATTATAGAGAAAATATTGGCTTTAAATAGAGAAAATGAAAAAGAGAATGGAAACAACCATATTATGATAGGGTCTATGTAAGGATTCCATGAGGATCCCTTCCTTGCCAGGCTCTTTCAACCCCCTCCTCTGATATATTCTGATTACACCGTAGACAGCGCCAACATGGACGAATGGAAGTGCTTAGCACTTGCAGATTTGGGGGTTTCCCAAAGTTAGGGGTACCATTTTGGGGGGTCCCAGTAAGAAGGACTATAATATTTTGGAACCCTAAGCCCTAAACCCCCCTATTTTGAGAAACTACCATTTCGGGGCAGGCTGAAGGATGCAGCGATACTTATTGGGGAGCTCCAGAACACTAAGCCGTTAGGGTTGAGGGCCGCCATAATTCCCTGGCAATCGTCTATATCTTGGGTACGGCCCCCACCCAGTAACAGTCTATATCAGGGGTCCTATTAAGGGCTATATAGAACCATATTATATTTATTCTCCAACTGTTACTGAGGGGGGGCAGTACCCAACCTATATCTCTGGAAATCTACAAACGTCCCTTATGGCAGATTCTGAAGTCGGAATTCTCGTAAACTTGCAAGACGCATCCGTGGTGGATAGCAGGAAATCGGGAAAAATGGGCCGCTGAAGTAGTCCGTAAGAAGTCCTTAATTAATAGCCCCCATGTGCTCTTCTATTCCCTGCTAACTACCAGCAAGCAGCAGGAGCTGAAGGCAAATCTCAAGAAGACCGAGGAAGAGAGGGACAAAGCAAACGATGAGGTCAAGGAGCAAGGGTGTCTCACGGGAGAGGATGACTAAAAGCATTCCTCTTCTATCCTCATATATGGTAGTTTCCCACAATAGGGGGACCCCAATATAGACCCCAAAATACTATAGTCTTTATTATAGGGACCCCCAAAATGGTACCCCGAATGTTGGGAATCTCCTATATACTGTAGACCGTACCTACCCCTACTATGGTAGCTATATTCATTCCCCCACTCCTAAGCTGGGAACGGGACGGGCGTGCCTTTGGGTTGACGATAGGCTTACTGCGTCACCAGCATGTGTCGCTCTCTCGCTCTGAAAGAGTCCTACTGCATAATAATTTGCTGGGTAGGCCCTGGGGATATTTAACATTTTCCCTAATTGCTTTAATAGGGGACCCTATATATTAATATTTTTCAAAGGGTTTTAGGGGCCAACCCAATTTGGAACATGCTTCAAAGCATGTTGAAGATTCCTCTCCAGAACTTTGGCTAATGCTTCCTTGCCATGTTGGATTAGGTCGCGGGCGGGTCGCTGCGTTGACGGCTGAGAACAGGATGCCCTTGTGGCCCTAGGCTCCTAATTCACCTAATCCATGATGGCGCTGACAAGAACCATACTACTTCGGAGGCAGCCTCAGGCTTTATTCAATTCGTATACATGCTTGGGATAATGGAAGAGAAAATGGAGACTACTATAATGGGTTATATGGGGGTTATTGGGTATACAAAGGGGCTATATGAATACCCCCAAGTACAAGACCCTAATGGTAATGAAAGGTGATGCAGCCTCTTAGGGTCCCAATATGTTACTTTGGCAAGGAGACCTCGAAGCAAAGGGAAGCAGAGACTCAAGCCCACCAGGCGTCGAGCATGGGTGTCGTTCTGGGTCCTGAATTAGGATTTAGGGTTGAAGGTCCTGGTTTTGAGCAACACCTAAACTACTAACCCCATAGGGATCCGAATACAAGACCCTACAGACGCCCCAAAGGGAGACGTGATCTTTGAGAGACCTGCGTGAGCCATAATCTAAACTCCTTCAAGGGGGTTAGGGTTATATGGGGATTATATAGGGGACACTTACAGGGTTTATTAAGGGGGGATACTAGGAGTTTAGACTAGCTCATGTGGGTCTCCCCCACTTCTCCCCCACTTGAAGCTTCCCCAACCTCATTGACAAACACCCGTACGCCCTAAATTCTCGGTCCCATGCACTCCTGAGCCCCTAACTTACTGGGGGTCAGTAGGGAATTCGGGAATGCATTATATATTGGTTATACAGGGATTAAAATACATTCCCTTTCGATTCTCTACTAAGAACCAGTAAGCCAAACCTATACAATCGCAATCTATATGTGAGATTGGATTGGTTGATTGTACCTTAGGAACATTGGATTGTAAAGAACCCTATATAACCCCTCATACACTCTCCAGAAACCCTTACTCAATCCCTACATAAAAATATCCCAATGAGCTGAGGAAGAGATGGAGGCTGAGCAGCAGATGGCGCGAGATGAGCGCAGCAAAAACGAGGTCTTGACAAAGGCGTTCAAGGGCTTAGGGTTTGGAGACAGGCTTGGGTTCCATAAATAGGGGGCTCCAAAAGAGACCTAATACAAGATTGTCATCCTTGTTTTAGGACTCCCAAAAGAACACATTTTCCGGAGGGCTCCAGAGGAAGACAGTAAGGTTCTGTAGGTTCTGGGTCCGTGAGATTTAGGGCTTCTGGCTCTAAGCAATAAACCCCAAATCCTAAACCCTAAACCCTTCGTCGCCACACGGAAAAGAAACGCTGCAAAAAAGAATTACACCCTACCCTCCCAAGCCCCAAGCCTCCCAAGTAAAAGGAGGCGAGTGTGTGGTGGTTAAACCAGGCTCCCTCGGACTTCTGAAGCAACCTCCAGGGTACTGATGGTGTTGAGCTCCCTGTAATTCGGGGTACCATTCGGGGCGAGTTAGCATCAAGATTATAGTTTTTTGGGATTTAAACTGGGGTCCTCTATTCTGGGAAACTATCATTTGGAGCCTTGCGCCCTGAAGTTGTAGTTTCCCGCAGGCACGGGAAGATCTCGAGAAGGAAGTCAAGGAGAAGGCGATCCCCAGGGCCCCCCACTTTCAGATGCACTATCCCCCATCTGGGGGTTTCCGAAAATTAGGGGTACCATTTTGGGGATCCCCATAATAAGGATTAGAGTATTTTGGGGTCTATATTGGGGTCCCTGTATTTATGGAAATTACTATCTAGATATTGCCCAGTATCATCAGGGAGGATTGGACATACTGGTACCAAGCCAGCTTTGTGTCACCCCTGAACTGTGTAGCAGGAGAAGCAGGTGCATGAAGCCGCCGGCGACTTACCAGCTGCGGAAAACATGACATCATGAAACAGCATTGGGGTTATATTGGGGTTATTTATAGGGATAATGGAAAAGAAAATGGAAACTACTATAATTACGGCATGTGCTGGCCTACAAGTTGTAAGTTCAGCATTGAAGGCGGTGCAGCATACTGAGCTCAACAAGAAGCTGACCCAGCTCGAGGCAGCTGTCAGCAGTGGGCACCAGCCACGCGACGTTACGCAGCGCATCAGCCAAGGTGGTGGAATCTCAGTTTAAAGCCGCACGTATAGTGTTAGCTAGAGCAACATCAACCTTCTACTTCAACACCATTCAAATAGCAAAGTATTCAATTGGCATGCTTTGCTGGCAGAACACAGGGGCCACAAGTAAGTTTGCGCAGGCCAAAATCGAGGAGGAGCGTAAGTTGGCGCAGACCAAACTCGAGGAGGAGCGAAAGTTGGCGCAGGCCAAAATCGAGGAGGAGCGTGCAAAGGCACAGGCCATCACCAAGGCCAGGCATGGAATGCGAGGGTGAGCTCTAAACAGCCCCAACACAGTCCTTATTCAGTTATTCGTTGTAGACTATGGTATTCTATAGTTCGAACAAGAAACAGGGATCTCCATAATGAATCCTCAGCCGCGTGTTGCCATAATCTCTGGGCATGCCAATTTTGTTGATTTTTCTGATTCTGACGGGCCTTAGTCTCCTTTCACAGCTGCTGACGCTTTGTTTTCGGAAATCGGGTCCACAGTCAGACTTCGGAGCAGACAACGTGTGCATGCAGAGGCCCTAGTCCCTAAACCCTAATCCCAGTGTGGCTTGCCTATGTGCAGTGGGTAAAGGAGACGTTGCAAAAAAACTTGATCCCTAAACCCTAGCTATTGTGCATACAGAGGCACGTGATGACCTGGCCAACGAAGCGAAGGAGCAGGCAGCCCACTTTGGAAGAAAACTGCTCTGAGGTAGGCTTTAGGGTTTAGGGTCCGGGTAAGCTAAAGGGGGTACAATGGGAACCCCAAACAAGGAACCCCAAGAAAATAGGGTTCAGGGATCAGCTGCCACAATGTCTCTTGGCAGATAATTGTGTGAGAGAGCCCAGGAGAAGCGCGCCAAGGCCAGCGAAAGCTTGAAGCAGCCATCGCCACAGCTATACTGATGAGCAATGACGGCTACCACAGTTGGCAATAGTGCTGACATGATAAGAGCTGGCATGAACTAAGCAACAATCATGTTGACAGCGGTAGCAAGAACAGCAACACGGACTTCGGCAACGACATTTGCTTTTTCTGAGTGGCGGCAACGCTAGCAAGCAGAGCCCCTCACCAGTGTACCCAGCATGAGAACAATACTTGGCACGGCAAGCAGAACGAGAGCTGCTTGTCCTGATTGTTACGGCGAAGACCACCAAGCACACACTACATGACACAGGCTGAAATACACTGAAATACCATATCATGCCGTCACGCCAATTGCTGTCGATTGATGACAGGCTCCAAACAGGTCAGAAAAAATGGGGCGATCGACCCCGGACCAAGCTTGGAACAGAATGAGTGTACCATAGGAGGTTGAACAATTCCCAACCCCATGGTCCTAGGTTCAGTTCCTTGTATGATTATAGCATAGGGTACCTGAAGCTACTGGCACTTTCCTAGGCATATATCAGATGTAGTCTAAACTTCTAGTATCTCCCTGAACAACCCCTAGAATATTCCCTTATACAATCCCCAATAAAACGCCCTTTAAGGAGTTTAGATTATGGCTCATATTACGCCGGATCTTCGACCCAGGCTACACACAAAGCGCATCGAAGCATTGACAGTGCCGGCCTCAGAAGCATTCGCCAAAGCCGTAGTGAGTTAGGGCTTGCTTGGAGAGTCAGGGGGACGTAGGAAGTAGGTTAACGCTGGGGATAATTAGGGTTACTATATGAATTATTCGGGTTGTTAACCTACTTACTACGTCCCTTGACCCGCCAAGTAGAGCCCAGGGTTGTTGGAACAGCGATGTTATCGTCCCTGATATAGAGAAAGAAAAGCCCTCAATTTGGTTATAGTCCTTTACACGAAGAATTAATGCTTGGATCAACTACCCAACGCACTCTAGACATTGTCGAGAGACCTGCAGCATGCCAGGGCCGCAGGATGTTGAAGTACGCAGAAACTTTCAATCAAGGGGCTTTAGAAATTTTGGGGTTATATAATAGTTATGTATCTATACCCATTTATACACACATATATACATATATGTACACATGTTTGTGTGTACGTTCATAAAAGTTCTTAGGAAATGGTCCCTGCGAGGGTCCCTGTGAGTCCAAAGTCAGGCCCGCCGCCCCCCAGCTTTAGAGTTTCAGGATTTTAGGGTCTGAGGGTTTCAGGGTTTGAGGGTTTTCGGGTTTGCGGGTGTTTTTTTCAAAGTCTTTTCAGTCAGTCCAGGTCTTCAAACAAACGATTTGGTTTGTTGAGACACATAGGGGTTATATGAAGGGTATATACGAGTATATATGGGCGCGGCAAAGACAATGGAAATTGTGACGCTTTCTCATAGCGGGTCAGACAAGAAATGTGGAAGCTATAATTACAATATATGAGCTAGAGTCTAAACTGCGTAAGGGAAATTATATAGGGGTGGATCCTTAAGGGGGATACTAGGAGTTTGGACTATAGCTCATATCAATTTCATAGGAGCTTCTGAACATGATCCGGGACCCAAGTCTTCGACCCTGAGGACCGCCCCGTGATACCCTTCGTATAGCTGTCGCAGCGGGAAGGCCCTAAACCCTATCATCCCTTGTCCTAAAACATCCCCCCCCCGCCACCCGCCCTAAGAAAAACACTCCCCTGAAACTGGTACCATAGGGGGCGGGGTTCATCACAATTAGGGGGCAGGGTAGTGGAGTTTATTATTCGGGGCAGGTGATTTCCTAAAACCTCGAAGTGATAGTTTTCCTAAATAGGGGTACCCCAATATGGACCTCAAAAAATAATAATATCCTATTCTAATTATGGCCCTCAAAATATTATAGGGGACCCCAATATAGACCCCAAAATCTTATTATCCTATTATAGTTATGGCCCTTAAAAGGTTACCCCTCATTTTGGGAAACCTTAAACTACCCAGACCCTCCTATGTAGTTCTGTTTTGGGTAGTAAATTATAATCCCTTACCCAAAAACCCATAGCAAACCCAAAAAGGAACTACATTGGACCCTAAACCCTAAACCCTAAATAGATGCCAAGGCGGATCTGGAGGCGGAGCAAAAGCTTCTCAAAGAGGAGCGCAGCAAGAACGAAACTCTGACGAAGGCACAGCCTGTTACACCGGATGTTCTAGGGCCGCGGTTTAGGGTTTAGGGTTTAGGGTAGGGTTTAGGTTGGGTACTGCCCCCCCCCCCCAGTAGCAGTTTATATTAGGGATCCTGTTAAGGGCTATATATAACCGTATATTATAACTATTATCCAACTGTTAGTTAGGGGGGGCAGTACCCAAGGTTTAGGGTTTAGGATTGGGGGAGCTGTCCAAAAACTCAAGACTCTAGAAGAAGGAGTAGAGTTACTTGAAGGGCCAGGGGGACTTGTAGAAGAATAACCCTAAAATCGATGTAGTAGACCTAGGTAGATCCTAATCATGAACCTGCCTACGAAGTCCCCCTGACCCTACACCCTAAATAATGCATCGTAGTCTCCATGTTCTTTTCCATTATTTCTAAGTAGTGTGTTGGGGTATAGACGGGGGACCTGAGCATGTGGATAGGCCAGTAGGAGCTTGAGACTGGCCAGGAGGGGGATACTGGGTCAAATGTTGCCCCATACTATGAAGGCTTTCGGGTTTAGGGTACCATGTTTTGCTTCGGGCTAGGAAGGGCTTAGGGTTTAGGGTTTATTGTTTCGCTCTGTGCTATGAAGCTCCATTCTCCTGACATGTATAAAAGTCATGGGCGCTTTTGTCGCACTGTTTGGCAGGCGTTTATCTTTGAAATTGTCTGGGGTAATCAAGGCAGTCCTACGCAGTAAGGATCCCGGGAGCATCCTGAATTGACCCGATGGGATTGCAATTAACGGTCCTCTTCAGCCTGATGAAAGCTCCTACTCGAGCGATTTGCCAGCTAGGCCTGGTTGCAAAAGCAGCCTTGCAATCTTCTACTGCTCAAAAGGTGTTTGGGGATTAGGGTTAAGGATTTAGGGGCCCGTGGATTTGGGCGCTAGAGGGTGGGAGGATGATGGGGCTACTCCCGGCGCAGTAACTGCCAAAGGTCATGGTCCAATTGTTGTGCAGCGGGGCTTTAGGTTGAAGAAGGTCATGTCTTTAGAAATTCTTGGGTGCATCTCAAGAATTACTCAAACCCCTATCATAAGGATCCCAAAACTATCATATGATTTTTTTTTTATAATGGGGTCCTATTAATTTCAGGGGTTGGGGTAAGAACGTCCTTTGCCACACAACGTTGCAGAGTTCAGGACGTGCATCGGTTTATTTTGCATTCCTGCAGGCAAGGGACGAACTGGAAAAGGGTGCCAAGGAGAAGGTCCATCCGCATGCCTGGCATCGTGTCTCTGGAAGTTTAGGGTTTTTGGCGCCTCTGCCCAGTTTACTGTTTTGGGCTGTCCCATACTGTTTCAACGATTATGTGTGAGTACGGCTTTTTCTTCAGATACAAGTGCGCGTAGGGATCCAAAGATGCATGGGCTTCATGGAGGTTCTGAAGGGTTGTTGGGGTTCCTACCAAGAGTGGTGGAGAGAATCGTTTAGGGGACTCCAGTAGTCCCCGCATAGTCTGCCCCTATAATAGGGTCCCTTCCTATGTTGAGAAACTTAGAGTCCTAAACCCTATAAACACCGCTCTTCTCCAAGAAGGTCCATGGACCTTGAGAGGAGGATGGGAAAGGGGCGCGATGAAAACTATGCCATGTCTCCTCATAGCCTCTTCAAAGGGAGTTGCACTGCAAAACAATATACTCCGAAGCCCCGCTGCGCTGCCCCCATCCTGTATTTCCCTGGCTTTCAGTCAGCGCAGGAGAAGCAATCGCAAGAAGCCGCCAACGACTTACAAAGATGTGCAACATGTGGGAGCTTCTGAGAAACAAGTGCAGAAAGCATCCTCATCAAGTCACCTGTCTTTGATCCAAGGGCTCGCAGCACACTGAGCTCAAGCAGAAGCTTGCCCAGCTTGAGGCTGCGTGTTTGTGGCTGAAACAAAAGTAAGAATGTCGGAATTGTAGGGCAATTCCACAGGGAGAAAACCGGCGGGCTTACGCAAATTGGTCTAAAGCCCACCTGGAGATCCTAGTCGACCAGACTTCAGGTACACAGGTGTAGGGCTTAAGGCTTTATACGAACTATCGTCAAATGGATCACCATGTGCATCCTGAGCAGCTGGCTGGGCTCAAGTAACTTCTCCCTCCGCCCCTTTTTCCTGGATTTTTTTGAAGAATGGAATGCTTTGTTTGACAAGTGAATAAGATACAGGCACCGTTGGTAAGGCATCAAGTGCAAGAGAGCCAGACGTTAAGATGGAAGCCTTTCAAAGTGTGCGCAGGCAAAGTTTGAAGAGGAGCGAGGAAAGATTCAAGCCGTCACAAAGGCGATGAACATGTCTACTTTTAGTGAGGCTAATATATAGGCTATATGGAGATAATGGAAAAGAGCATGGAAACCACTATAGTATATTGGGGTTATATAGGGATCATGGAAAAGAATTTGGAAACTACTCTACAGCAGTTGCTGAGGGCTGGGCAGAGCAAGTAACGTTTGCGTAGTCTTTGTGGGCTACGGAGGCGCGTGACGACCTGGCAAAGGAAGCAAAGGAGCAGGTGCTGTACCTGGCAGGGATGAACCCAGAGAGCCCAATATAGCTTAATTAAGGAATCTACCTCAAATGGTACGAGGAACCTTAATATGATTTAGGGTACATTCCTTAATCAAGCTATACTGGGCTCCCTGGGAAACTGTCAAAAGCAAGGATGGCAATAACTGAGTAGTATTTTATTTGGGGATACTATGGTACCCAATATAGAGTAAGATTCTATTCTCCTTTTGGGGTATAGTATCTTATATAAGGAATGTAATCTTACTAGGTTCAACCACCAAAAAAACGCTACTCAACTGTGGTAAGTTGCTTCAGCTGCAACACGCTGAGGAGAAGCGTGCGAAGGCCAGCGAAGGCCTGAAACTGCCTGGGTCACAGTGACCATGATGCCACCATTCTGGTACTGTAGCGACAGGGGTTGTAAGAGCCAGCGATTAAAGTGAAGTTGAATACCCAGGGAGCCCAATATAGTTTAATTAAGGAAGATATGCTACATCATATTCAGGGACCTAGTACATTTTTGGTACATTCCTTAATAAAGCTATATGGGGCTCTCTGGGTAGTAGCAAGTCCCTGGCTCACAAGACAGACCTAGCGTCATCTGATAAGCTTTTTTCCTGAACATTCAATCACGCCCGGCCTAGAACTAAACATCTTCTACAGTAGCCTAAGTTATGAGATATATGAAAAGTCAGTGCTGCAAAATCTTCATGGTTTCTTTGTGGTTCCTAGCTTTGCAGGGATGGGGTGCGGAATGCTAGGAGTCACCATGGCGATTCTGTCTTATGCTGGCACAAGATGTTTTTAGAAGCGCATTGTTCGAAGGCCTTAGGGCACTTTAGTGGGTGCAGGTAATCCCTGCAAGAACCTAGCCGACCCCCTAGGCTGCATGCTCGGCGCATCGACGTCCTGACTGCATGGGGCCTGGAGCGCCGAAAGCATCACTTGCATAATTACACCCTCACATGACTCTGATGATCCTTTTTGTGGTAGCTGTAGCAGCTGCAGCATTAGCATTAGCAATAGCAGCAGCTCTCGGCAATTGTAGCAGCTGTGGCTTAGTACCAGTAGTAGAAGTAGCGGCAGCAGTAGTGATCATCCTTGTAGTACGTAGTAAGTGGTGTGTAGCAGTCGTCGTCTCAATTCAGCAGCAGCACCTCCCCTTGAGCTCCAAGGCCGAAAAGGACAAGCTGGCCGAGGAGAACACAAAGCTGAAAGCGGAATCCTCCAAGCGAGCTCCCGAGGCCGACAACCCCTATGCCGGGACTACAAAGGAACAGCTACTGAAGTTCAGTTCAGGTTGAGACAGTTTTGAGAAGGCGGACATATGGGAGTCTTTCAGCTTTTTCTGGGGGAACAGGTAAGCCGCTACCAGCATGGTGGCCAGCAAGCTTTTCCGGTGACAGCTGGCCATGATCCTCTGCAAGCAATCGTGAAACTGCCGCAGGGTATGAATGGGGATGGCCATGTTGAAATGCCAGCATGCCCTTGAAAGCCTATAAGGAGGCTCAGGTCCTCCATGCTTGCTGGAATAGGTTTTTTAGGCAATCACAAGATCAATCAAGTTTTGGGTGTCTAGGCCGGCTTTGTTGTAAAGACAGCGTCTCCCAAGTCTAACAGGGGTTTAGGGTTTACCGCCTACTATGACCTGCACACCCACTTTTGGGAATCTTGTAGCGCCGGTACAGGAGTACTTAATAGTTTCCATCAATTTGAAGGACCCAAACATGGACCCGAATATATTATGATATTATAGTAATGCTCATTGCAGGGACCCCCCACAAGATACCCTGAACCCTAAGCCCAATTTTCTAACACCCCAAGACAATTTTGGGAAATCCACAGCCTTGCCTTTGGTTATCTAGGAATGCAGGAATGGATCCTTATAGTAGTCCCTATATAACCCTTATGGTACTTTCCATTTTCTTTTCCATTCCTCCATTCCCAGCTTCCCAAAGGTAAGCAGTTGGAGGGCTTGTGCAGCCAGCAGGATGTGAAGGCCATTCAGAAACATGCAGACCTGGCCATCCACCTCTCCATGGAGTACCGAAAGGCCTGCAGGAATTGGGCTTACCCAGAGAGCCCAATATAGCTTAATTAAGGAATATACCGTAAATTGTACTAGGACCCTTAGTGTGATTTAGGGTATGTTCTTTAATTAAGCTATATTGGGCTTCCTGGGTAGTAGAGTATGGTTTATCAGAGTATATAGGGCCCCTTGAAGAGGATCATAGGTAAGAAATACATATTAATATTGTTGGAGTCAACCCCCCCCCTCCCCGCAAAAACACCTAAACCATGACGCTCATAAAGAATCCAGCTGAGGAGCTTTAAACAAGTTTACACTCCCCCCAAACTAACATGGAAACCCACATAGTTCCCTTTTAGAGGAGGGACCATAGTCTTTATAGGGCCCTTTTTCGGTTTCCATGTTAGTTTCCGGGAGTTTAGATACGTTGGCGCCCGAGGCCTTGGAAGTCATGATTCCAGAGGCAGATACCTTGGCTTGCCCGTTTTTAAGCTTTGCCACACGGTTTAGGGTTTAGGGGTTTAGGGTTTAAGGTTTTAGATTTGGTGGTTTCCGAAAGCCATGGGAACCCCAAAAATGCGGAAACAGCATTTAGGACAAGAATCTGCAGTGTATATCACATATTGGGAGAAAAATGACAGCTTTGGGTGCATGACCCCAGACTTGGGTTCACATGATACATGTGTTCTCGAAGACAAAAAATGAGGTCGAAAAAGCAGCACTGGACAAATCTCAGCCGGAGACAAAGCACGAAGCCAAGATCAGACAGATGTCTTGCTTAGTATTCTTACCGTATTATTATTGTGGTTAGTATACTTGTGAATATCTCTAGTACTGTTGTTTTTATTGTCGTTACTATTAAAATTTGCGAGTACTATTAATATTACTATTGTTATAGCTATTCTTATGAGTATCTATATTATTCTATATTACTATTTCCACTCAGTTTCCAGCGCGCACTGCGAGGTCATGTCGTACATGTTCAGCTGTTGCTCTTGTAGCCCCAAGGTTGCTCGAAGCTCCGAAGGCTAAAGCAGAGGTGCCCTGACTGCCTGCAAAGCCCAGGTTGTTGGGTCCTAGTTGGTTTAAGGGTTTTATGGATTAGGGTTGGGTCCTAGTTGTAGTTTTTTCATAATGCAAAATTAGGTGTTGATCGTCGCAGTGCGAAAGCAATTCCTAAATGCCAAGGTGATCTAGTTTGGAGATCTAGCCATGACGTTTCTTTCCACATTAAATTCTGACCCTGCTCAGCATGGGCATGCGTTGCACGCTGTTCCCTCGCAAGGGCTCTGGCGAAGCGCCGCAGAGCCAGGTGGTCTGACTCCCAGAGACAGGTTTCCATACAGTAGTTGTTGTGGAGCTGTACAGTCGCAGTAGTAGCAGTATAGTAACGGTATAGTCGCAGTAGTAGAAGCAGCAGTCCCAATGCGGCAGTCGTACCTCCAACGCATGTGGGTGTGTAGTGGTAGTGGTCACTACTACTGCTAGCATTCGTGATATTGGGAGGGTTAGAAACATCGCCACCACCACGACTATAACGCGCCCTTGCACGAGCATGATTTCTTCTGGCAGCTAGGGTGTTTAGGGTTTATAGGGTTAGGTGTCTTTGTCTTTTGCCGTCGTCTAGCTGGCTAAAAAACATCTAAAAACCCAAGTCCTGACAAGCCACGACTCGGTCTCAATATCAGGCCATCCTCCTCAAGTACTCTTAGCTCCCCACAAGAATCCGGAAGTGAATAAGGGAATGCATGCCCTATATAATACATATTATATATACACATATATAATATATACACATATATATGTACATACATATCTTTATGCATATACGTACATATATATATATGTATATGTTCCCATACTCCCTACTAAGAGCCAGTAAGCAAGAGGCCTTCCAAACTTCTTGTCTCCATTTTCGCATGTAACTTCTTGCGCCAGCGTTCCCAAATTTAGTGTGCCTCCTGCCCAGGGCACAAAGCGCAAGGCCGAAAGCACCGGACCTACCCCCCTGGAGCAGCCCAAGAAGGTCCAGAGAGCTGCTAAGCTTGGCTTTCCCCATTCAGGAGTTTAGGGTTTATAGGGTTTA